AATAAAGTGATGGATTAGTAAAATAATGGAAAATCAGGAGAGGTAGTTATTTACTACTACACAATTATTTACTTCTTAATACTGTTTGTTTGTGAAAACCCTTGAGCTGGGACAAGGAGACAGCTCAGTGGCATAAGTGCCTTCCTGGTATGCACAAGGTGCCAAGTTTAATTCCTGGTACCAAAAAAAAAAATACTGTTTGCTTCCAAATAATAGTATTTGAAAGTCACTAAAGAGTGCAATAGAATGCAAAAAAAAAAAAAAAAAAAAGAAGTGAATGTTATTTTGTAGTGTTGTGATGATCAGAAACTGATCTAGAATCAATTAGTGAAAACTATGTAATTAGAGGGCAAAACCAAATTCTAAATAACCAGATAAAATATTTTCATCGTTGAAAAACAAAATAAACTTATTTGAAGTAATGTGTTTTCTGCTGCCTCAACCAGATGTTTTTGGTGATACAGGCTAAGCATTTCAAATATGAAAATCCAAACTACCCTAAAAACAAAATTTGTGTTTAGACTTGGCAGTTTTGACAGATAGTTTTGCAAAATTATGTTAATTGGTTTTCAATTGCTGTAACAATACCTGAGCCTAGGTGATTAAAGCCAATTATTTGCAAATCTTCCAAAATCTGAAGAAAAAAAAAAAAAGTCTAAAGTTTTTATGTCCCAAACATTATGGATAAGTGATACTTAGCCATACTCATAATAATTGGACCAATATTATGGTCAATATCAATGCAAAAATAAAATCAACTTTAAGGGATATTTGTCTCCCATCAAGACTTTTTGAGAGGACAAATACTGTTTTATGTATGCTTTAAATTTTCACTGTTTCTTAAGAATGAAAAGATTAAATATTTGTGATATTATTTTTAACATTTGTAATGATTTTAATTTGAAATTTATTGTGCCTCAAATGTCTGTTGTCAGGAAAAGGTCATTTTTATATCTTACTGAAATCTATAATCTTGTCAAAATATTTTCATAAAAGTAGTAAACCCAACTGTTATGATACAATTCTTTATTGTTACCACACAATTTATTTTCTACAACTCATTTAAAGTATATGGTTCACTGTTTTTTATTGTATTTACAGGTTTAGCAACCGTCATCACAATCTAATTGTAGAATATTTCATCTTTCTCAAAGAAAGCCACCTATCTACTAGCTTGCAGTCCCCATTCTGTAGTTCTTCCAGCTTTACATAACCAGAGCCCAGAAAACAAAAATGGGACAAATTTATAGACACAATTGGCATTTATTTTCAGTGTACAGATCAGCATAGCATCCATTCTACAAAAGATCATGATTACTTCCCCTGGGTAGTAGCAGAACTTGGGATTTGTACGTTAAGAACAAAGAAATGGGACAGTGACAGGGTGATCGATAATTTTCAGGTTACTTTTTTTTGTGAATGTTAAAACAAAAGGGATTTCTTAATGCATTTCCTCAGGTGGACTTAAATCTGTTTTTTAGGAAAAACTGGTGTGTTTCAGGATCTGTATATTTCCTTAAATATTTCAGTTTGATTATGTTCTGTTTCACAGGAACAACTCCATTTTGGATTAGTCTGTTGTGTTTGGGGATACTGCAGGTGCTCAGTCAAAAACAGTGGCCTTGGGGCCACGGAGTGGCTCAGTAGAATAAGCGCTTCCCTGGCAAGTGCAAGGGCCTGAGTTCAATCCCTGGTTCTGGAAAAAAAAAAACAGTGACCTTCCATAAGTTCATTTTATACACTGATCTGTGTTCTGTCTCTATAGATTTTTCTATTTCAAACAAGTCACATAAATGGAATCATGTATTCCTTGAGCTTCTTTGACTTAATTTTATCAAGGCTCATACATATTACAACATGCTCTAGTACTTTATTTCATTTCATTGCCAAATATTCCATTGTATGAATCTGCCACATTTTAATTAACCTATTTGTCATTTGATGGACATTTGAATTGGTAACATTTTTGGTCATTATGAATAATGTTTTTGTGACTAAATATGTGCAAATTTTATGAAAATATAGACTTTCATTTCTTTTGCTTGTATATCTGAGAGTAGAGTTGCTTGTCATGTTAATTCTATTAACTTTTAAGCAACTCCCCAAGAATTTTCCAAAGTGACTACACTATTTTACATTCCTACTAGCATTGTTTGGGGATTAATTTCTGATATCCTCATCAGTGAATACTTGCTGATCTTTATTATAGCCATTCTAATGCGTTTAAAGTAGTTTGGATTTGTACTATCCTGATAACTAATGATATTTAGTGTCTTTTCATGTGCTTATTGTTCCTTTACATGTCTTTGGAGAAATGCCTTCCTTTTCTTCTTTTAAAATTGTGACATTTTATTGTTAGTAGTAAGAATTTATGTTTTTTGGCTATTAGGCTATTTTCAAACATGAGATTTGAATATATTTTCTCTCATTCTGTGTATGAAATTTTAATTATCTGGTTTTCTTCGTTCTTGTGGGTTTTTTTAATTTTATTTTTATTTTTTAAAGAGAGTACAAATTAGAATTGAAACCAAAAATTACACATGATACAGATTTTCACTTAAGTAATATGAATTTCACAGTATTTGTTGTAATACATAGTGTTATATTCCAGCCATTTATTCATATTATCAGATGTATGCATGTAAAAGTGGAAGAAAGAAAGAAAGAAAGAAAGAAAGAAAGAAAGAAAGAAAGAAAGAAATTTATAGGAAATTAAGAGAAAAACTACAAACAATTGAAAAAAGGAGATGAAAACAAATCAAAAGCATATTAACTGCTTGGTTTTGGTGTCCTGTGCAACAGTTGATTCATTCATGTTAAAAAAAAAAATACGGTTTTGTTTCTTGTAAGTTTCATAACTATAGCTTTTTTAGGCCTGTGGCCATTAGGTTAATTTTGGTTATCTTCTGTGGTAAGAATAATTTCTTCTGTTTTTAAGAATAATTTTAAATGCCCTTAAGGACTATAAAGCCAGGGACAAAGCACAGCTACACAGTGTCTACCTAGCAAGCAAGAGGTTGTGAGTTTGATTCCTGATACAAAAAAAAACAAAACAAAACAGAAACATAAAAAGTATGAAATAGCCTGTGACTTTAGAGAGAATTTTTTTCTTACCTTAGAGAAAATTGTTTTCTCACCCCTAACTCTGAAGCACTTATCAAGAATCAGAGCCGTCACTGCTACCCAGCTTTCTCCGCAGGTCAGCAAAGGCCCTCAGGTAGTTTAGTCTTTGAACAGATGGTGGCAGCAGAGCTTTATTAATGAAAATTCTGGTATTGTTAGCTTGAGAGTTTTAAATTATAAATTCTCTTATTGTATTTGCCCTGCCTTCTTTTTGTTAATAGATTGTTAAGCTCTGAGTTTAAAATTCATTTTGAAACTCTTAAGAATTATATAAATATAGTAATCTTTTTTTTCTTATGAGTTTATTCAGGCTTCTCAGTATTTGTTGCCAGTTTATGATGTGTGAACATGATTTTCTTGAAATCTCCAAATTTAAGACACTTTTTTCTCAGAATTTTAAGTGTATTTTCTCCACTTTTCTTTCAGTGTCACTCCTACCCATGATCTTTGTGTAGAGATCAAGTAATGAGTAAATGTTGATTAGTGTTAAAGTTATTCTCAAACTTGGTTTTAAATTGGCAGATTACAGTCCAATTCTGAAAATAGATGATGTAAGAAGTTGGACAGATGTGTAACTTTTTGTTTCTTTAGTGGTAAAAACTTTTAAGGGCCGGCCAAATAGCTCAGCAGATTAAAGTGCCTGCTTAGGCAGGCACAGTGGCTGGAGTTCGATTCCTGGGTGCCATGCTGACCCCACCTCCCAAGGCACACTGAGGTGTCTATTGAGATTGGGTGTGGTGGCGCACCCCTGTAATCTTGGCTCTTGGGAGGCTGAACATAGGCAGATCACTATGAGTCCAATCTACGTAGTGAGACCCTGTAGGCCTGTAGACCCTTACTAAAAATTACAAAAAAAAAAAACCCAAAACTTTTATCTCAGAATTGAACCTCTCGTGTACTTATTAGAACTTTATATTAAACAATAATATTATGCAATGCCATTATTCCTTAGCAATTATTGCAGGATGATAGGAATAACATATTTATTAAGCACTTACTGTTTGCTAGGCACTGTTAAATATCTTGTGTATATTTTGTTTCACTGTCATGAAAGCACTGAGAGGTAAATATTTTTACAGAATTTTCTAGAGGAGAAGGGTGCTGGCTTTAGAAAATTAAAGTTTGCCTATGGTCACATTAGAAAATTAGGGTAGGGCCTGGGAGATGGCTCAGTGGAATAAGCGCTTCTCTGGCAAGCGCAAGGGCCTGAGTTCAATCCCTGGTTCCGCAAAAAAAAAGAAAGGAAATTAGGGTATGTGGGGAAGGTGGTTATACTATATTTCTGTGTGTTTAATTTTTACAGGGATAATATTATATGCATCATTCTTAAAATGGTTGACAGTCTTTTGAAAATCTCTATCTCTTGCTTACTATATAGATTTGTTCTATTTCTTTACCTTATGAGCATACACTAGTTTGAATGTTTGACTTTGCTGCTGAAAACAAAACACCCTCTAATCTTCACTAATTTTAGCTTCACTTTTCTACTAGAGGGTGTACCAAATATTTCATTGAATATTTTTCTGTTCCTAAAACCATAATAGTAATAGAGTAATATATTATTTCTTATACTAATGATGAGAACAAAAAATTAATATCTATAATACTTTCCCTGTTTTATTTTTATACTATAGGTTACTCATTTTTGGATCCTATGACAGAGAGGCAAATATTCACTGTACACTTGAATTGAGCAGTAGTGTTTGGGAAGAAAAACAAAGAAGTTCTATTAAGACGGTAAGACAGATTTGCGTAGTTGTACATCTGTATAAAATATTCTGTAATCATGCTTTTATTAATATTTATATAGTCCTAGAGTTATTTCTGGTCATTAGTTATGAACAGATCTTATTTATTGGTCTTTTTGACTATACAACATTTGTAATAAAATAAAGCTCATGAAACTAATTGATATTCAGAATACCTACATAATAAACAATCTGACAAGTTTTCCTTCTAGAATGTTAAATGTGTTTCAGTTATGAAATTAAAAGAAAATAAATTTTAATAAACACCTTAAAAAGCTTGTGAATCCAGAGTGTTATTTATTCAGGAGATATTTCTTGAACATTTATTTTGTGCTAGGTAGAGTTTTAGATGCTGGGAAAAGAAAAATTCAAGACAAGAAGAGACCATGTTATGATTTGTGTCTAGTTGTCTCCCCAAAGCCTCATACAGTCACTAGGGCAGCTTCTAGAGTTCATGATTAATTCGTGATGATCCAATGCTGGGGTTATGGGCGTGAGTGCTACATCCACACTGGGCTGATAGCCTGAATATAATATAAGAGAGGAAGAGAGGCTTGCCACAGCTAAGGCTCCTCCCTTGCTCTTTGCTGTTTCCACCACCGTGAACTGCTGCCCTCTACCACATGCCTCTCTGCCTTGGAGCCAACCAAGTATGTACTGAAACCTCCACTAACTGTGAGCTAAATAAACCTTTCCTTCCTTAATTTTACATGTCAGGTATTTTGTCCCAGCAACAAGGAAAAAGTAACTGAGAAAGACCATATTCCTCAGCACTAACATGGGAAAGACGTGTGAGTTAGGTAGGAGGGAGTGCACTATGCACTATAGGAGGGAGAGAAGGTAGCCATAATCTAGTAGCAAAAATAGTGAGCAAGCATATTTCTAGGGATTGACAAATACCATGAAAAAAACAGGATCATGACAAAGTAGGCTCTAGATCTGCTGGTAATTGGGAAGGCCACTAATACAGGGCATTCAATTAAATTTGAATTTCTGCTAAATGGTAATATTTTTAGTATAAGTATTTCTGCTAAACAGTAATTCTTTTAGTATAAATATATTTTTATTATTTTGGAGCAGTAGTTAAAATGTTGCTAAATCTTTAATGGGGAGCTGTGAAATATTTTTATAAATTTCCCCTTGACTTTTAAATTGATTTAAGTTTCTCTGTGTAGTAACTAATGTGAATATCTTTACATAAAATTTGGGCAGCCAGGTGTGGTGGTACACACCTGTAATCCCAGCATTCGGAATACTGAGGCAGCAGGATCACTGCAAGTTTGAGGCCAGCCTGGGCTACATAGTGAACTCAAGCCCAGACTAAACTATGCAGGAAGATCTTGTCTTAAAAAGAAAAAAAAAAAAAATTAGACAGTGTAAAATTCTGTTAGAATAAACATTAATTTTGATGAGGAGGGGGAAGTGGGGAGAAATAGAACTAGAAGGATACAAGCTCTTACGATGATGACATAATCAAAGTAGATGTTTTAAGAAAGATTTCCTTCTTCCTGGAAAAAGTTATTGTTTTGTCAGAGTAAATTTTTGGTATTACTTTGAATTGATCATGACTGGCCATTGCTATTGGCCTTTATTACATTTATTATATTTGTAAAGGTATGAGATTAGACAGCTTTAATAATAATTTATAGCTAAGATTAGTAATACTTTAATCTCAAATCATTATTTTAAATCTTAGCATCTGTCATAAATAGTTTTCAATACTTCTAGGTTACTAATTATATCTGGTGTTGAAAATGTCCACAGCCAATGTCTGTAGACATTAAATTATATATATCAGACTGTAATAACTTTAAGGAGAATTAACGTGTGTTTCAAAACAACATAAAACATTAAACAATAGAATTTGATAATTTGGGATATGTTATAAATTTAAATAAAACATAGAGCATCATTGAAAAGAGGGTGCTAAATTATTTGATGAGTTTAGAAGCTATTGGTATAAATACAGTTTTCGGATTTAAAGCCATTTTTTAAATATTGTAATTTGTTTGATAAATTTGGGCCACTAATGGTGATAAACATGAAGGATAAAAAGAAACTTAATTTCTTTCACACTTTAATGTACTTTAAGTTTTTAAAGCATTAAATATTATAATGCAGGAACATGGTTTCCTCCTCTATCTTCCTTAATAAATAGGGCTTTCTTGTTACTGTTGTAAGGTTGTCTAATGCATCTTAAAGTGTCCATCTTTAAAGAAAAAGAGTGAAGTTAGTTTTTTAGAAATAGAAACAAGAGAAAGGGGAATTATGAATGACTTTCTGGTAGCCACCCCCCCCCACACACACACACACACAAAAACCCTCAGATTTATTTGATGGCTTTTTATTTTTAAGAGAACTTTTTAATTGGGATACAAAAGAAAAATGAAAAGAATCATTTAACATATAGACAGCTTAGAACCCATTTTAGAAAAAACTTAAATACAAGGAAAGTTTGGAGCAATCTTGGGCACTCAGGTCAGGGATCTGCTCAGCTCATTGCAGAATAAAAGAGCTCATACAATAAAATGAGTAATGGGTGGTTTTGTTTGTTCTTTAACAATAATAAATTGAATACTAAGTAAATAAATACAATAATCAATATTTGATGTTCCAGCTCTTCATCCTTTCTCTGTCATTCTAGCCCAAGGTTGGTGGTAACCTCTTACTGTTACTAATATATAAGTTTCAAACACCAAACCTGCTTTAAAGCCCCAGACTTCTTGTTGTTTTGTTTGAGACAGGATTTCCTTATGTAGTCCAGGCTGGCCTTGAACTCACTACATAATCCAGGCTAGCCACAAACTTGCAGCAGTCCTCCTTCCTCAGCCTCCTGTATGCTGGATTACAACAGGCCATGTGCCACCATACCCTGCCCACTCTGAGTATTTAGGTGTTTTTTCTTTCTTAGCATAGCCAGACTGATAGACCAGTCATCGTTTCCTATTGGAAGCCTTTCCTAACTAACAGAAAACTTCTCGTAAATAGTTGTTCTCAGTTGAAATTTTATACTTAGGTTTGTATGATACATTTTTATCAGTGTTGTATCTAGTAATATCTGACAGTACAACAGGTACCATGATTATTTTTGCTGTGGGTATTCAATGGATGTTTCTGTGGAGATTGATCCTGACTGTCTGGCCATCAGACTTCAAGTGCCCTTAGCACATTTTCTCCTGGACTTTCAGAGTTTCAGCATCACTTTTAATTACACACTAGTCTCCTTTCTTCTGTTGGGGCTAGTTGTGCTCTGTTTTAACCAAACAAAATCTTTAGGGTAAGAAAATTCAGAAAATGAAATTTACTTTTGTGATACGCCTCGCTTTTGTAGTAAGAATTTTATTTTATAACTGTAGTACCTAATGGTGTGTTTTATTTCTGACATTCTAAAACATCAAAAGAACTTTTTACTCTTTGTGGAGTTTAGTGTAGCAAAAATAAAATGAGTAGGTATGCCCTAAAACTTTGTGCTGGCCTTTTTAATTTTGGAGAAATTAGTATGTCATTATAAATGATAGCAAATGAATCTACAGCATCCAGATTGATCCATGTATTGTTGAATGTTCATACAAAGAATTTAGAAGAGCTTCCTAAAGAACTGTAATTTCAAAGAATATCTGAGACAGACAAGCTTATAAATATATTAGGCCAGATGCCTCAGAGTTGGTATTTTAGTGTGTTTATTTAAGACAGGATGCCTTGAAGGTAGAATTTGGGTATGCCTGTTTAACCATTTGCCATTTAGAATCTTAATCTTATCAAAAGGAAGAGAAAGATTAAAGCAAATAAAGCTTTTTTTAAAATGTCAGTTTTTATGAAAACTTTGGTTTAGTTCAATTTGATATTTGTGAATACAGTAGGGACTCAATGGAATTTTTACTCAATGGAATTTATATATAATGTTATATAATTTAACTTCTTAAAGAAACCAAATGCCTATTAAAGCAAATCCTGTGAAAAATGTCTGATCTCAGAGTTCATTTTTGTCAAAAATGGGGGATGAAATTTCTTGTCTCAAGTTTACTTTGTAAGATTTTGAAATGCTGAGGAAAGAGTGGAAACTCATAAAAATTTAGGAATATAAGCTAAGTCCCTTCAGTGTAAGGCTCTGTGAGTATGAGGAATAGGTCATTTTGTGATCCATCCCTTCAAGAAAAATTACAGTCAATATTACTTTGTGTTTTAAGTACTGCTATTAGCATATGAATGTGGTAAAATTTTCAAAATAAAGTACCATGAGCTTCCAGTGACATGAAAATTGAAAAGGATATATTAAGGAAGTGACATTTGAGCTAACCTTCATTATGTATATAACATACTGAGAGGGCAAAGAGGGTGTTTCAAGGTGAAACACATGGCATAAATACCGAAAGAGTAAGATCATGTGGGTTTCCTTAGGATATAATGAATTGCCCAAGTTGGCTAAAGTCTATGGTAGCATAGGAAAATTATGCAAGACAAAAGTAAGTTTGGATCATATTATACAGTGTTCAGTGGTAGAGTGTTTGATATATAATCCAGTAAGACAGAAACCTAGACAGACTGGACATACGAGGAAGAAGGAAAAATACTAGGCCAGTATGTTTGACTGTTATTCTCCAAGACGGTAGGATCTCCAGAGGTTTTTAGAATGAAAGTGACCTAATCAGAATCTTACTTTTTGGGAGATCTGGAGCTAGATTTGAGTCTTAACTGGACTACTTGGTACCAGGGCCTTAGTCAAAGTTCCTAAGCCCATCTCATCCACAGTTCTTAACTCTTGTATAGAGTGGGACTCGGTGTTTCTCATGGTTTTGTGAAAACTAAGTGAGATTCTCTGCAATGTCTAGCACAATATACCTGGCACATAGAATTAATATGTTTATTGAACCTGGCAGCAATAGGTAAAGTTAAGGGAAACACTTAAAATAGAGGTGAAAGGTGATGAAAGTTTGAATAAGGATGGTGACAATGGAAAATAGAACCAGAATGGTATGGGATACTTTAGGG